TGTCAACAAATCGAGCGAAGCTACTTGATTTCCTGGTTCCTTTATTAAGTTAAAATAGATATCTTCCTTCTCGACAGTAATTTTTTAAGTTGAAAGCTTCTAATAATTAACTTGAACTTTGAAGAGTCTTCAGCTACATAGAAAGCTCGTGCAAGCGTTGCCGGTATTTTTCGGCGTCCCTAAACAAAAGCCGGAAATCTGTATGTTTATTTGTAACATCTCCCACGATGGAATACAAAGATAAAAAACATTCCCTGATTGGACAAGTTTCAAAGGGCGAATTTGGTGCGAAAACGTTCTTGAAAATGGAAACGGAAGCGGTGATTGGCTAATTTCGTGAAAGGAATGTTGTTCGGATGTGAGCAGCCGTTTCTTTGGGGGGAGCGTTGCGTGACATCCCAAAAAACGGCTGCGGAGGAGACTAAGCAGTCCCTTACTCCCTTTTTAAAACCAGAAATACTTGAAGCCTGAGGAACTGACAGTGGCAACACATTTTCATATTTAGATCCATCTGCCACAGTTGTATTCACTTCAAAGTCGGAAATTATTGTGTATTTGAGTTCAAAAAAGATGTATTCGCCTTTGGTTGCTGTTTCATTTGACCACCCTCAGACGCTAACAGCATGTACAAAAAATGCCAAGTCTTCATGTTTCAAGTGTCCTCAATGTAATTATGCTCACAAACGGACACACATATATTCATTTTCTTCCACCCCCCACCCAACACCGTCGCCATACGTCATTGCAAGGAAGTGCAAAGGATATGCACTTGTGGTTACTGATTTCTGTTTTGAAATCTTAACTGGTTTTTAAAAAACTGAACAAGTCAGCGATGAAGTTCTGTTTACTATGAGTCCTTTTTTTGTTTTGTCTTTTGTTTTTTGTGACTACATAGCCTCCATGTTGGTGGTCATTAACAAAGTATTCTTTCACTTTATTCTAGCTTTTTTGTAGAAACCCTCATGGTCACCACACCTTTGCCATTTCAGTCCCTCGGGATTTGAAGTTAGAAACAACCTTTAAAAAAAATAGTTTCTTCGAATGATAAGGCAATCTCCTGCTCTAAATGGCCGATTCGCGTGAGAGCGAATCGTGCGAAAAAGAACGTTTGATCAGGTTTGATCGAATCTGGGAAAATAATTTCTCACGATTGCATTACAAAACGATTGGTATCTTGCCTTTTATCTCTCACAAATTCTTCGCTTGGAACTTATGATCGATGGTTGAAAACGCATATACAAATAAACAAACAAACATACGTTGACATCCTGAAAATCGTACCGACGGTATAAAATTAATAGATGTGTTTGAGAAACACTTCCTGACATAGTTCGAAGAACAATCGACAACCCGCGCGTCAAAACGTGAAGAACATAAAACCAAGATCATCGTAAAGATCCAGAACAGACACAGCTGATAAATCGAAAATGTTCAGACTAGTAAAAAATTTCGTTTTCGGCGTGACTTCGCAGTATTCTCGTGTGTTCTTTCTATCGTCGAATGAAAAATAAGGATGTAAATGGCCCATAAAATATAAAATACAATAGAGGTACATGTCGCTATAAATCAAGTTACGAGCGTAAATACAGCACGCATATTCAAATTTTAATATCTTTACGAACCTTTTCGAAGTGCGTCGTATCTGGCCTCTCGGATCTGCATAAGGACTCACAAATTGCCCGTCGTTCCAGAGAATCGCTAGCTGCTTTCAAGTCGCGAATGGATGTGAAGTCAGCTTCAAACGAATCTTGTAAGAAGCTAACAAAGACAAAGCCGACGATTACAGCCCAAAGTGGCATCATTCTTCACTGTTGTCTGGTCGTTTTTACTACTTCGACTCTTACTTAGTGACTGGGAGAAAATGTCGTCTTCTTCTAAACATCACCATGTCGGCCATATTAAGACGACGGTATTTGGCGCCCGCATGCCAGGCAAGCAAGGGTCATGCTCACGTTTTACGCTATTTTTAGCACGTACAAATTGCTGGAAAAATACACGACATTTGGAAATCAAAACAGCTGAGCAAAGAGTCGATTCATCAGCGTTTTCGATAAAGATTTCAGTTTTTTTTTAGTCTTAACACTTCCTCGTTCGATTGCTTCAGGGATTCAGAGATGACGTCAGGTTCGCTCCACTGATTTGAATTTACATCCGTTCAGTATATCGCTCAAGATTGCACAAATTACGAGTGCTTATCATTTAGCAGAGAAAAAGCCAATTCGTTTACGACTGGCTGACTTTGATACTAGACTGCGTAAAAACTTGATCTGGGAATAACATTAAACCTGCGTATTGGCGGGATTTTGTGTGCAAGTTAAATGCTTTGCTCCGGCGCGTAGCCGAACGCTAGACAGAGATTTCGCTGCAGGGAGAAGGGGTCTCTTATTTGACCGCATTTCCAGCGACGTTCGCCGTACAACTACAACGCTGAATCGATCTTGCTGATTCAAATAGTTGTGCGCGTATTTCAGTTACTCTATCCACGAACGATGAACCGTAAATGGTCGTCGGGGAGACGACTCCGGAAGCGAAGGCTTGCGTGGTCATACGCCCACAGTCTTATCTGTGTGCGGCTTTGTCTTACGGATAGGCCGTGCTGAAAATAAGGAATGGAGCGAAATGGAGCGAAATGGTGCGAAATGGAGCAAAATGGGGACTCGGGGACGGGAATGTCACATATCATGTTTAAGGGAAGAGGGAACGTCAGATCCGGGACGGGGGAACTTGATCGAAATATAACCCAGTCTGGTTATATGTATACATTTAAAGAAACTCTTTCAACTCCTGTAGGCTTCATGTCACCCATTGTGTATGATTGCTGAAATTCTCTGAAATTCTCGCCCAAAAACTGAGAGAATGGCACTGTTATAGCTCACACAGGTGTTGAAAAGTCACTTAATAAAACAACTGGACTTAATTTGATTAGCCATAGTACAGATTAATATCATAATAGTCGGACTCTGCTTCTTTTGGCTGAAAACTCCTTGAATATTTGGAGCAACTTTCGTGACAATTTACATGTGAAATATTATGACATTCATAGCCCAACAGCAAAGCTTTGTGAAGAACTACACCCGATAACAGAAGCAAAACTTCTAAATAGACACCGACTGATAGCCTGTCCCCCATATCTCAGATAGACAGAACAGAGGCAAATACCAATTTCAACACCAATTGACATGCGCTATAAAAACTAAAGTTTTGTTCGACTGATTATCTTTCAGGAGCAAGAAGCCGCTAGCCTTGAAATTTTGCTATTTATTCTTTTTAATACTTAAATCGTCTTGTTCATGCAAATACAGCAGACTGAAGTTCACATCACGGTTAAGTTTCCACGTACGAAATCAGCGAGTAAAAACTACAAGCACTAATACAATGAAATAGTCGCGATGCTTTATGACTTCTAAACGATACGAGAAACTGGGGAATATTGTGTAGTTCTTGTGTAGAGTCAGCAGTCAGGCCACTGGATGCGGGGCGAGCAGACACAGTCAGGAGATCTGTCAACACTATCCCTCAACAGACACAACCACCCACGCCCAACATCACGAAGGAACAGCAGGAGGCTCTTAAAAGCCTAAAAGAGGACAACTCCATCATGGTCCTTCCCGCTGATAAAGGTCGCGTCAGCATAATCCTGGACGCTGACACATACCACGCAAAAATGTCAGCGCTAATTGATTCCGGACCGTACCAGCTGCTCAACAAAGATCCGACAGACCGCTTGACCCGGAAGCTATCTAAGAAGCTGCTAACCCTGAAACAGAATGGACACATATCAGAGGCGGTTTATAATAAGATTAGACCCCGACACAAACAACCACCTAGGATCTACAAGGCCGACACACCGCTTAGGTCAATTGTGTTGTGTGTCAACACCTTTGCATACGACCTGTCTGCTTTCTTGGCTAACGTATTATCTCCTCTTGCAGGTAACTCGAACTTCACAGTGAAAAACTCAACT